CCGGACTATCCAAGCACCCCGCCGCACAAGACCTTCCGCAAACTGCGACTGTTCGACACGCCGCACACGCCCAAGGTTAGCGGGGGGACCCGGGCGACCCGGTTCCAGGGCCTTTAAAAAAAAAGGGGGGGGCGCGGCGCTGCAGCCGGGCGCACTGCTGTCGGGGGTTCGGTTACATAACCGCCCAGCCGCACCCCACTCGCTGTCCTGTGCCGACACCAAAAAAGAAAAAAAAAAGTTGGCAGCCCCTATTTTTGGCTCCGCTCAGAAGTTGTCGGTTAAGATTATGTAACTGAACAATGGGCCTGGTCTGTAACTTCTTCATCTTACAAAGGGGTTGGTCCCCGCTGTCCAGGTGGCTGAGGATTTGGCCCCGGTGGTGCGGTCTGCTAGGTTGCCGGATTGGTGTGGCCCCCCTGACACTCCGAGCCATATGGTGCCTTTTAAACCTGGTGATCCGGCCTGTAATTTGGGGAGCACGGGTAGAAGGAGTTAGGTTTATTAAAGGTTTTTTTTTTTCTCCCTCCTGTGGTTTCGTGTTATATGGCGTTAGGCAGACTGCGTTTCCCTTTGGGAGTTCTCTGCGTTTACAGTCACGAAGTCATGAATATACCAGGTAGCTTTTGATTGTCTTTCCGGATTTAGTATTAGGGAAGCTTTGTGTTTTATCCTGAGGTTTGCTCTGAGGTTTTGTTGGTCTATGTGTCAAAATTAATGTGTCTTAAAGAAGTGTGTGTTCAGCATCCGACCGGAGTAGCCCGTGAACGTATGTATGTATATATTATACGCTATCACTGGTAATACTTGAGAAGTCTCGCGCGCACACACACACAAAATTAAGATCAGCTACTTCCCCAAATTAAGACAGGCATGGCACCTGTAAGTTTAACGGAAAGAAGCCTTTTAAAGGGAGTCTGCATTTATTTCCAAGCACCCTTGGTCATAAACCTCGAGAATATGTGTGTGTTTTGAGCGTTGCTTGCTGTTTTATTAGCCGACTTGCCCGAGGCACAATCCCTCAGTGAGGGGAGGAGTCCCGTGAGGTAGCCTTCAAAAGCCCTCTTGAGGTGGATGTGGGGACTTTTTGAGACTGATCACTTTTATTTTTAGAATGTTGAAAGAGCCTGTTAATTTTTAGCCACTGATATGAACTTAGTTTTAGTCACTGTAAATGTTCCTTTTAAGGACTAAGTACCAGTTTTTACTTTGCTATCTTTTACAGATAAGTAGTTAGTATTCATCCTAATCCCTAAGTCAGCCACTGTTTATTTTACTTGCAATATAAGGAAGGCTTGTGTGTTGCCACTCCCTTGTTCTTTTCTTTCCCCAAGTGGAATAGTGGGACCTCTCCGCCTTGGGTTCTTCATTCCCTGTGTGATGCTTTGGGCTACACATCAGCTACTTAAGACAGGCCAGTTAAAGGCTGTATCCTGAAGATTGTCTTTCCCTTTCCCAGAGTTTGCTTTCCAAAGCTCGAGTAATTGATTCCAGCTCTGTTAAACTTCGGGGTGGTTCTCTATTCATGGACACAGAAAAATCAGGAAAAAGAGAATTCGACACACGGCAAACTCCTCTAGTGAACATTAATCCTTTTACTCCGGATCCTGTATTGCTTCATTCCTCAGGACGGTGTCGTGGCAGAAAGAGAGCATATTTTAATGAGTAAGTCTCTATAGTTTGGTCCCTCTATACACCTAAGATGGGTTCTGTGTACTGTCAAAATTCAGTTTCTACTGAATGGCATGAATGTCTGTGCTCTAAAAGTTTTCACTTTATTAGCACTCAGCTCTCAGGAAATAGATGATAATCTGTAGGAAAGAAAGTGGTGTAAGAAAGGAAATGAATAAGAAACTGTGTGATTCCTGTAGAGAGATGGCTTAGATGTTCAGAACTCTCACAGTTCTTTTTAGTTCTCAGCATCCATGGTTGTGGCTTACAAATAAATGGCTGTAACTCTGGTTCCAGCAGATCCATTGTCCCTTTTGATTGCTTCAGGCACTATGCATGCATATGATGCTCATACATACAAAACACTTACACACAAACCTTTTTTTAATTATTATTATTATTATTTAAAAAAAAAAAAAAGCCTAGACCAGGCAGCAGTGGTGCGCACCTTTACTCCAAGCACTCAGGAGGCAGAGGCAGGTGGATCTCTTGATTTCCAGGGCAGCCTGGACTGCAAAGGGAGTTGCGAGACACCCAGGACTGTTAACACAGAGAAACCCTGTCTTGGGGGTGGGGAAAGGACCTGGATTTCTTTTATTTTAAAGATAATTAATTTAAGTGTGTGTTAGTGTTTTGTCTGCATGTATGTGTGAGGATGTTGGATCCCCTGGAACTGGAGTTACAGACAGTTGTGTGCTGCCATGTGGGTGCTGGGAATTGAACCAGGATCCTCTGGAAGAGCAGCCAATGCTCTTAACCAATGAGCCATATCTCCAGTGTCAACTAATCTGATAGTGTTGTTATTTTGTTATTATCACATGTATTTATTTTGTGTGTGTGAAGGTCACACATGTGGAGGTTGACTTTAGGGACTTGGTTCTCTTTCCACTGTGTGGGTCCCTGTGCTTGAACTCAGGTGCCAAGATGTGGCCAGAACCTTTACCCTCTGAGCCAGTGGTTCTCAACCTTCCTAATGCTTGCACCCTTTAATACAATTTCTCATGTTGTGGTGACCCCAAACCATAAAATTATTTTTGTTGCTACTTCATAACTAATCTTGCTACTGCTATGAGTTGTAATGTAAATATCTGATATGTATTTTACATTATTCCAAAGGTATCTTGAATCTCAGGTTGTGAACTGCTGCTCTGAGCTATCTTGATGGTCAAAGATTTGATTTTAAAAAACCTTTAATTTTGATTTGTATAGTAATCACAGTAGGGATTGTTTTTCATGTTTGAGTCAAATTTTAGGGTCACAAATTAACTGTATGCTTTTTTAAAAATTTCAGCCATTAAAAATCCATTTCACTCTGTAGTTAATAGATAAAGTTTTTAATTTTAAGTTGATGTGTGTTCTGATATATTGGTAAAAACACACATTGTTTTTTTTTCAGTTCATCCGAAGACATGGAAGCCAGTGATTATGAGTTTGAAGATGAAACAAGACCTGCTAAAGTAAATAGCTTTTTATAATAACATATGTCTACATGTTATGTAGACAGCAGAACCTAGAGTAGAATAATTTTTGTATTATACATGGATATGCTCTTTTATTACAGAGAATTACAATTACTGAAAGCAATATGAAGTCACGGTATGAAACTGAATTTCATGAGCTGGAGAAAATTGGTTCTGGAGAATTTGGTTCTGTGTTTAAGTGTGTGAAGAGGCTAGATGGATGCATTTATGCCATTAAGCGATCAAAAAAGCCATTGGCTGGCTCTGTTGATGAGTATGTATTAAATATTGTTGTCTTTGTATTTTGTCTCCGTCGTTATTGATACACATTAAGATTTTAGGTAACCAAACATGTAATGCTTTTATTAAGACTAGGTTTTGCCGGGTGTTGGTTGCACACTCCTTTAGTCCCAGCACTTGGGAGAAAGAGGCAGGCGGATCTATGTGAGTTCTAGGCCAACCTGGTCTACCTAGCGAGTTCCAGGACAGGCTCCAAAACAATACAGAGAAACCCTGACTTGAAGAAAAAAAAAAAAAAAGGACTGTGTTTCATGTAGCTCAGGCTAGCCTTGGTGAGCTCACTATACTGGTGATTTTCAACTCCTATTCTCCTTTCTCAATTTCCCTAATGGTAGGGTTACAGTGTCTACTAAGTCAGTTTGTGTAATTCTTAGTTCTCTTAAGTCACTGTTTAGCATAATGATAGTTTAAAAAAGGTCATTTTTACTTTATGATGCTTCAGATTTGATTTAGTTCTGAGTAGAAATGATTTAACATTCTATTAATATTTTTCTTCTAGGCAGAATGCTTTGAGAGAAGTCTATGCTCATGCTGTGCTTGGACAGCATTCCCATGTGGTTCGCTATTTCTCTGCATGGGCAGAAGATGACCATATGCTTATACAGAATGAATATTGTAATGGTAAGTGATGTTGTATTCATTCATAAGCTTTTGAGTTTAAAAAATAAACATAGGTCGGGCATTGGTGGTGCACACCTTTAATCTCAGCACTTGGGAGGCAGAGGCAAGCGGATCTCTGTGAGTTTGAGACCAGCCTGGTCTACAGAGCAAGTGCCAGGTTAGGCTCCAAAGCTAACCAAGAGAAACCCTGTCTTGAAAAAAAACCAAAAAAAAAAAAAAAACAACCAAGAAACAAAACCACCATGGGAATGTTTTTGTATCTGCCTGCCTGCCTGCCTGCCTGTCTTCCTGTCTTTCTAAACCAGGCTGGCCTTAGGCTCACAAGAGGTCCACATGCTTCTGCTTACCCAGTGTGGGGATTAAAGACATATGGTGCCTGGCTCCCTTTCTCTTCCATGTGGAAGAGTAACATGAATTTCGAGTTGGAAAGCCTTATCCTTTCTGTGGCATCTTCTACATACCTCAGTAATAGAACTTGTTCTATTTATATGCCTGTCACTCAGTGCTGAGCTTCCTGAGAAGGCTGCATGCTGGTAGCCTTGCTGTGTGTATTTTGTTATTTCCTAGAACACAGCATAATTTGTGGGCATACAGGAAAGATTATCTTAGTCTGTTCTCTTGGGTGGAACAAGAATAATACATTGAGATGAGGCAATTATAACAAATTTATTTGGTTCTCTGTTTTGGAGGCTGTGAAGTCTAAGAATATGACATCAGCGTCTGAGTTGGTCATTCATGCTGTGTCTTTCCATGTGGAATGTTGGGTTTCACTATATATTCCTGGATGGTGCTCTTTATATACAGACTAACCTGTCCTCCAAATCACAGAAATCTACTGACCTTCCTAAATGCTGGGATTAATGTAGGTGCCACCACTCCTGGCCCTTTTTATTTACTTTTCAATGGCAGATTTCATGATGACAGTTTTTTCTTTGTGGTGCTGGGGAATGAACTAAGAGCCTCTTGGTGCTGGGGAATGAACTAAGAGCCTCTTGAATGCTCTCAAGTGCCCTACCTCTGAGCTATTTCCTCAGTTCTTTTTGTATTTTGTTTTGTGACTGGTTTCATTAAGCAGTTAGCCAGGACTGGCCTTGAGTTCACTCTAGCCAAGGCTGACCTTGATCTTGTGATATTCCAGGAGGCTTTATAATGAGGCAAGACTTAAACTTAACATTAATCCCTTCTTGAAGGCACAGCTCTCTGCACTTTTCTAGGACCCAACTTCCAACACTTGAACTTTGGGGTACACATTCAAATCATAAAGATGTTTTTAGTGAATTTTCACTGCATTTAGCCTTCACATTTTGTGTGCTTCCAATATTGATGTTAGTTTCTCATAAAAGGACAATGACTCTATTTATCTAATTTTAGCCATTTCTTGAAAACATTCTGAAGTCCCCCTTTATTTCCACCATCTGTCCAGTCTAGTTTACTGTTAGAATTCATTAATACATGTGTATTAAGTAAGTTATATGTTTTTTGTTGCTGGCCTTGTTTTGTTTTGTTTTGTTTTTCAAGACAGGGTTTCTCTGAGTAGCCTTGGCTGTCCTGAAACTCACTATGTAGACCAAGCTTGCCTCAAACACAGAAATCTGCTTGCCTATGCCCCCTGAGTACTGGAATTAATGGCATGCGCTACCTCCAACTGGCTAAGCCTACACAGTGGATTGTTTCTATTTTTAAATTGTTTCCATAAAGATGAGAAGTGTGTGGTTTAGAGGGCCACAGAGATGGCTTGATGGTTGAGAGTGCTTGTTTTGCAATAACAAGTACTAGAGTACAAATTCCAGCATCAATGCAACAGGTTAGGCTTCCTGAATATGCTTCTATCCCACCCCAGCTCCCAGGAAAGCAGAGACAGGAGAATCACTGGGGCTTGCTCATTTGTAGTTTAGCAGAGAAAATGTGAATGAACCCTGCCTGCATTCAGGGAGTGATGCTGCCTCAAAGAAAAAGATAGAAAGGCACTAATACCCTATTCTACCTTCCAGATATACATTACATATATAAAAATCTTGTTTAAAAAAAAAAGAAATGTAGTTGGCTAACTAGCAGGGCTACATAGAGACCCTGTCTCAAAAAAAAAAAAAAAAAAAAAAAGGTTTAGAAACACTTGATATAGTAAGGTTTACCCTTGTTTATTTTCATGAATAACAGTCTAATTTGTGAGTCAGTAAGTGATGTAGATAGTAAAGACCTCTTCCCTTTCCTGGTTTATTAGTTTATTTAGAGACAGGATCTCGCTATGTATTTCTGGCTGGCCTCAAACTCCAAGATATCTGTCTGCCCCTACCTCCAGAGTGCTGAAGATTAAAGGTGTGTGTCACCATGCTCTGCTCTTGTTCTCTCTGGAGGTTTCCCCCTCAGAAAAAGAGGAAGAAACAGATGGTTTACTCTGAGAAAGTGAACTGAGTTGGTTGCTGAGGTTAATAAGTTGAAAGAAAATTTAAATCATGTTTTCCTTCTCAGCACTGAGAATTTAACCTAGGACCTATATATGTTCAGTAGGCATTGAATCCTGCCCTTTTTAAATTTTGAGACTGTCTTTACTAAGTTATCCAGGCTAGCCTTATATTCATTTTGTAGACTAAGCTGGCCTCAAACTTATGGTCTTCCTGCCTTAGCCTCCCAAATAGCTAGTATTATGTGCCTCCATCACCAAGCCTGGTGTTTGTTACATTGTATTTTTTATATTTGTTAGTATTTCCTACTAAAACAATAAATAAAAGTTGATATCGCAAGCAAGTTGAAGAGAGAGATTCTATTAAACATTTTCTTGATGGAGAATTGCAGTTGTTCACTATAGAGAGAAGGGAACATAAAAAATGTTTTGGTAAATTTTAATAAAAGGAAATTAACAAAAATGTTAATTTTTGCTGTTTTTGTTAGGTGGGAGTTTGGCTGATGCTATAAGTGAGAACTACAGAACCATGAGCTACTTTACTGAAGTAGAGCTAAAGGATCTGCTTTTGCAAGTTGGCCGGGGCTTGAGATACATACACTCAATGTGTTTGGTTCATATGGATATAAAACCTAGTAAGTATTCTAGATGGCTGTACTGTTTAGAACCTGGATAATGGGAATAAATTACTTCATTGTAGCAATATGAAAACATCTTTCTACTTTTCATTGATTACTTACTAGTATTGTTTTATGATGAGGACTAGACCCCTTACCCCTGCCCCAAACTGGCCCAAGTATTTCATGGTTGATTCCTTTAAACTGGTATCTGTTTCAGTATCATACTATGCATCTGGCTATATCATTTTCCTTTTTCAGGTTTCACTCTTCTACATTTTTTCTTTGTTAATCTATAGTTTGTTTTTATTTTCTGTTCATTGGTGTTTTGACTTTGTGTATGTCTGTGAGGGTATCAGAATCCCTGGAACTGGATTTATAGACAGGTGAGAGTTGCCATGTAGGTGTTAGGAATTGAACCTGATCCTCTGGTAGAACACCTAGTGTTCGTAACCAGTGAGACATCTTCCCATCCTCTCTACTTCTTAAAAATTGTAGGCTTAGTCCTACAGATAAACTCCCATGTTTAACTTGTTGCTTTCTTGTATTTTTAGCTTATATCTTCCTTATATTTCCTGTAAATTGAAAGTTAGAAGGGTTGATGGTTTCAAACTAACCATTGCAGGCAAAGTGCTTTTCTTATAAAACAGCAACAACAAAAATCAACTAAGTAGATGGTATTGTGTCACACACCTTTAATCCCAGTACTCAAGAGGCAAAGCAAGTTGCAGGATAGTCAGAGTTGTTACACAAACCCTGTCTTGGGGGAAGCAACTAATTTTTAATTTATGTATATGTGTGCATTTGAGTGAATTTATGTGTACCATCTGTAATCAGAAGCCCTTGAAAGCTAGACAAGCATGTTGAAAACTTTGGAACTGAAGTTAGAGGCATTTGTGAGCCACCATGTGGGTTCTACATCTTTGAAAAGGTTCCTTTAAAATTGAATTTTATATTGCCAGGTGTTGGTGGAGCATGCCTTTAATCCCAACACTCGAGAGGCAGAGACAGTCGGATCTCTGAGTTCGAGGCCAGCCTGGTCTCCAGAGCTAGTGCCAGGATAGGCTCCAAAGCTACACAGAGAAACCCTGTCTTGAAAAACCAAAAAAAAAAAAAAGATAAAATTTTTATAGATAAAACTTTTTACAGATAAAAATATTTGCTTTTATTGTAAGGGAGCATGTCAATTTGGGAAATCTTAAGTAGTTTTATACAACTTGTGAGTTGCAGTTAAAAATTTTTCACCTGACTAAAGTTTGTTGTAAAGGAAGAACAAAAACAAATGTAGTGTCGTAGACAATAACCTGCACTTGAGAGACAGAGGCAGTGGAAGCCAAGCTTAGTTTATATAGTTAGTTCCAGACTAGCCAGGACTGCAAAAGTAAACCCATATCTCCAAAAAACAAAACAAAAACAAAAACAGGAAAAAATGTTTGGAATAGTCATGAGATCAGAATCTGTAAGATTAGGCAATACTACTTTATCTTTTTGGGTTTTTCCAAGATAGGTTTTCTCTGTAGTTTTGGAGGCTGTCCTGGAACTCACTCTGTAGACCAGGCTGGCCTCAAACTCGGGAGATCTGCCTCCCGAGTGCTGAGATTAAAGGTGTGTGCCACCAACGCCTGGCTTATTTTGGGTTTTTTAAGACAGGATTTCTCTGTGTAGCCCTGGCTGTCCTGGAACTTGCTTTGTAGACCAAACTGGCCTCAAACACATTGAGATCCGCCTGCCTTTGCCTCCAGAGTTCTGGGATTAAAAGGCATGCACCACCACTCCTAGCTTTATTGGTATTATTTATATTTATATTTGACCTTGTTTGTTAAATATAGTTATTTTGATTCAATAGGTAATATTTTCATATCTCGAACCTCAATCCCGAATGCTGTCTCTGAAGAAGGAGATGAAGATGACTGGATATCCAACAAAGTTATGTTTAAAATAGGTAAAACTATTAATGATAAGTTAAATTAGGAGTTGGGGGTGTTGAGTGAGTAGATATGAGCCTGGTAGGCATGTATGTGCAACAGAGCATGTATAGATGTTAGAGGACAAACTTATGTGATAGTCCTCATGTTCCGTCTTGTTTCATGTTGGGGCCTTTTGTTGTGCACTGCTTTGGATACCAGGGTAGCTGGCCTGTGAACTCCTGGAAGTTTCTTGTGTCTGCCTCCCATCTTGAGGGATTTCTGAGTTTGCAAACTTGTGCTCTTTTGTTGGCTTTTGCATGGGTTCTGGGGATCTGAACTCTGGTCCTTACTCTTGATAAAATCAAACACTTTTATCAATTGAGCCATCTCCATAATCCTCTTTTTGAGTGTTTGCCTTAATGTAAATATACCATGTATATGATTGGTGCCCAAAGAGGCTAGAAACATCCCCAGGGACTTAAGTAGCAAGTAGTTGTGAGCTACTATGTGCATGAACTTTGGTCCTCGGCAAGAGAAGCAAGCATCTCTCCAGCCCATGTTTATATATTTTGAGACAGGATTTCATGTATCTCAGGTATCCTTCCTTGAACTTGCTGTGTAGCCCAGACAGCTCAGGATTCTGCTGCCTCTACCCTGAGTCCTAGGATTACAGGCATGTGTTGCCTGTAGTTATAGATACCAAGCCAGGGCTTTGTGCATGTTAGGTGAGTACTCCACTGAGCTACTGTACTTTTCTAATACATCTAGGTGATCTTGGACATGTGACAAGAATCTCTAGTCCACAAGTTGAAGAAGGTGATAGTCGATTTCTAGCAAATGAAGTTTTACAAGAGGTAATTTATTTCTCCTTGATTTATAGTATTTGCTTTGTACCACTTAAGCAATTGACAGAAGACTGCATTCAAATATGTTGAAAATTAAGCAACTTAGTAGACTAAAAGTAGAAAATCTAAACCATCACCCAGGGATATTTAATCCGGCAAGGATTCTGATGGCATAGTAAGTTGTTCTTTACCCTGCGAATGGAGCTTCAAAGTTGCATGGCCTTTCTAGAGACCAGACTGTCACTATATTGATATTTAAAATTCACATTTCTATTGACCCAGGATTTTTAGCTCCAGAAGTTTTTCCTATACAAATGATCATGTATAGAGAACAATGTGAAAATGTTGTATTTACTAGGGAAATGAAAGGTAGATTATGACATAGGGTGTCACATAAAGTCTAATTATTTAGTCTCCTTGCTCTTCTCTCCATGCACATTGTCTGCATATGCATCCCCAAAGGCATGATACGTGCTTCTGAGCATGTCATTGGGCAACTGATAAAGCAGCATCTATTTTTAGATGTGTATTTAACCCCCTCTCTAAGTTTATTATTTGTAATTAAAAAAAAAAATAACCATCTTCCTAAATTTAGCAGCTTATTTTCTGAATGGATGCTTAAATGTGGCATTGGAAAGGTTTCTAATGTGAATTTACATAGACCATCATGGTGTGTTATATTTTATTTTGACCACTATCTTATTTTTTTCCTCTTTTAAATTTTACAGAACTATAGCCATCTCCCGAAAGCAGATATTTTTGCTCTTGCTCTCACAGTCATATGTGCTGCTGGTGCTGAACCTCTTCCCAGAAATGGAGACCAATGGCATGAAATCAGGCAGGGTCGATTACCTCGGATTCCACAAGTACTTTCCCAGGAGTTGACAGAGTTGCTAAAAGTGAGTGTTTTTTATGTGAAGCACTCTGTTAACACCTCAACATTTTACTAAGTAGTAGTCTTTTTTGTTTGGTTGGGTTTTTTTAGAGACAGGACCTATGTATCTCTAGCTGTCCTGGGAACTTTGTAGACCAGGCTAGCTTCAAACTCAAAATATCTGCCTGCCTCTACCTCCTGAGTGCTGGGACCTAAAGGCGTGCACAACACCTGGTCATAAGTAGTAGTTTTTTTTCTGATTTTTCAAGACTGGGTTTTTTCATTTCTCTGTGCAGCCCTGACTATCCTGCAATTCACGCTGTACACTAGACTAGACTTGAACTCTGCCTCTGCCTCCTGAGTGCTGGGATTAAAGGCATGTTCCTCCACCAGGCAGTAGTGGTGCATGCCTGTAATCCCATCAGTTAGGAGGCAGAATTAGACCCATCTCAGTGAGTTCAATGCCAGTCTGATCTACAAAAGCAACTTCCTGGACAACCAGGACTGCTACACAGAGAAACCGTGTCTTGGGTTGGAGAGGGTGGGGGAGTGGGGAAGGCATGTGCCTCCATGCCCAGTAGTAGTGTGTAACCACAATTTTGACTTTCTTTCTCAGGTTATGATTCATCCTGATCCAGAAAGAAGGCCTTCAGCAATGGTGCTGGTGAAGCATTCAGTGTTGCTGTCTGCATCTAGAAAGAGTGCAGAGCAGTTACGAATAGAATTGAATGCTGAAAAATTCAAAAATTCTCTTTTGCAGAAGTAAGGAGGTTTTTTTTTTTTTTAATTTTTACTCTCATTTTCATTGATTCTCAAATTTTGAGAGATCATTTAGGGTTTTTGTCAAACTTTGTAATTATGTACTTTATGAGTATTAAGTGGGGTTGGGGTAGTGGTTCAGTTGGTAAGGTTTTCCCCCATAAACATGAGGGCCTGAAATTGTAAAAAGTTTATTACTAGCCCACTTGTGAAAATCTGGGCACATAGTTTTTGTTTTTGTTTTTGTTTTTGTTTTTGTTTTTGTTTTTGCAAAATAAGAACTCTTTATTTTAAATTAGTTATATAGCTATGAACTGAGTAATAGTATTAACTACCACCTTACATTTGAGCCAACAATACTCTTGTGTCTGTGATCTCAGCACTGGAGAGACAGAAACAGCTCTACTGAATCATCAAGTCCTAGATTTGAGCCCTAGAAAGCTGGATGTTGGTGGCTCACGCCTTTAATCCCAGCACTTGGGAGGCAGAGGCAGGCGGATCTCTGTGAGTTCGAGACCAGCCTGGTCTACAAGAGCTAGTTCCAGGATAGGCTCCAAAGCCACAGAGAAACCCTGTCTGGAAAAAACAAAAAACAAAACAAAACAAAAAAAAAAAAAACGATTTTGAGTATTAAAAGAAATAAGGTGGATGTCAATTGAGGAAGACATCTGATGTTGACCTCTGGCCTCCATATGCACTTGCACAAGTGTGTACCTGCACAACTAGACACACATACGAAGACTGAGTCCGATATGGTGGCATAGACATGTGATCCCAGCTGCTGGGAAGACTGAGGCAGCAGGATCTCAAGTTCAAATTTTTCTCAACAGTGTGGAAGCTCAGCCAGGGCAACTTGATGAGACCCTTGTCTTAAAAAGTAAAGGGTCAGCAAGTGGTGGTGCACACTTTTAATCCCAGCACTCGGGAGGCAGGGAGGCAGGGGCAGGAAGAACTATGTGAATTAGGAGCCAGCCTGATTTACAGAGTGAGTTCCCAGTCAGCCAGAATTGCAAATGAGACCCTGTCTGAAAAGGGGGTGCTTAGTATTAAAAGAGTGCTTAGCCCCAGCAAGCACAAAGTCCTGGATTCATCCCTAGCACAGAGGCCTGAAGGGGAAAATGGGATGGGCTATAAAGAAAAAGTAAAGAGAAGGCTCAGTGGTAGAGCTTTTGTTACCTAGGATATGTGATGTTCTATATTCAATTTTCTTTGGTTTTTAAGAGACAGGGTTCCTCCTTGTAGCTTTGGAGCCTATCCTGGCGCTCACTCTGGATACCAGGCTGGCCTGGAACTCTCAGAGATCCGCCTGCCTCTGCCTCCTGAGTGCTAGAACCAAAGGCATGCGCCAGCTTCAGCCTGCTTTTTTATAGAACCCAGGACCACCAGCCCAGGGAGGCACTACCCACAACAGGTTGGGCCCTCCCACACCAATCACTAATTAAGAAGCAGGCTTGTCCTGTAGAGGCATTTTCTCAGTTGAGGCTTATTCCTGTCTGACCGTAGCTTATGTCAGGTTGACATAAAACTAGCCAGCACAACAATTCAGTTTGTATTTGGCCTCTTAGACTCTTTTAATAGGATTAATACAGTAGTTAATTTAAATGTCTTGCTTTTTTATTTTTGTAGAGAACTCAAGAAAGCCCAGATGGCAGCTAAAGTTGCAGCTGAAGAACGGGCACTCTTCACGGATCGGATGGCCACTAGGTCCACCACCCAGAGTAATAGAACTTCTCGACTTATTGGAAAGAAAATGAACCGCTCTGTCAGCCTTACTATATACTGAACTGCTCACATCCCCCACTGCCCACCCCCCCCCAAAAAAAAAAACTGTGACAAGAGGAAGCTAGGTTGAAATCACTGCTAGAATCCGCTTTGCAATTACTTTGTCCATTGGTATCAGTAGTTTTCCTGAAATGCCTTTTAGGACTTATGTGAATTACAGTTGAGAGCTATATTCTGACTTGGTTATGTCAGGTTTTTGTCTCATCTTCCCGTCTGTTTCATGTAGGATGTCAGTCACTGTTGGATGTTCCACCAGCCTTTGCAGGGTTAACCACCGTGGTGGTGTGCTGCTTATCATTCACTGTTGCAGTGTGATGAAAGGTATCTTGTTACGACCCATAGAAAGGACTCAAGGGCTTTACTGCAAACATCCTCTCCCTTCAAAAAGGGAAATGCTCAGAGACTCAGTACTACTCAGCCTCCACAGTACCTGTGTCAGTCTTATGTTTCTTTTTTTCTATTGTGAATTATACTTGTATATCCAACTGGGAGCACTTTAGGCTCGTGTGCACCATGGGATGGTCATTCTGTGGAAGCCTTGCCTTGTGAATTTGCTGCTATTTTAGTTTCCTCTTGCTGTAAAACTAGCATTAAACAATCATTGTTGTTAATAGGCTTTCTTTCAAAACAATTATGTGAAATATGTAGCTGCTCTTCATGGAAAGCAGCTTTGCCTTTTTTTTTTTCCTTTGGACTTTGAAGCTAGTGCATTGAAAAAGTGCACCTGTCCCCTTCCTGTTTGAATGCTGTATTAATGTAGTATAATTATTACTGGTTTTGTAATTTTTTCTTATAATGTCCTTCTCTGACTTTAAAACATGTTTCCTCCTGTCAAGTCCTGTACTTGGTTGTATGGTTAGTCTATTTTTAAATGTTTCGCCCAGTTTCTCTTCAATATTTGTGTATATAAATTGATCTTGGTAATACTGTACATAGCTGTTTGAAATGCCAGAATGACTTCTGACTATTCCAAGTTTTACACAAAATACATTTTATCTGTGATTAGCCATTTGACTAACAAGGTTTGGCTAATAGATGTTGCCCTCCAAAAGGGGGGGAAAGGCTCATTTGTTTTCCTATTAACGTTGGTCTGAAAAACATTTGCACTTGTCTGTTTGACTTGTGTTTTATTAACATTGACTGGTGTATTAAAAGTCACTCTGTGCTTACCTTAATTGTCTAAATATTCATGGTGCCTGTTTTCTATTTTGTATCTCCTCACTGCTGCATTAGAAAATATAGGGTATAATGTATAAAGTACTAAGAACAGAGTGTGCTTCCCTCTTTGTTGCTGGCTCTTTGAAAGTTTCTCACCTTATAAGCCAGGGTGGCCTGAAACTTAGCTCCCTCTCCCATCCCAGTGCTGGACTTAAAACTCTAATGCCTATTTTGATGGAATGTGGAGCTTACTGGCTCTTTAATGATGTGTTTTAGTCCATGTTGGTTATATCTTGAGATTCCATGAAAGTTTTGAATATTTTTATCAGTATAAATAATATATTTAAGCATATTGCTGTTCTTGATGTGAAACTAGTAATGAGGTATAATTTAGAAAGGTTCAGGTTATGTGGATAAAATATCTGTGATTTATAGCTTTCTAACTATAGACTGAATCACAGAAAAACTTAAGAGTTTTAAGAGGTTGGCTTGTGTGTGTATTTGCACACAATGAAGACAAACCAGGACCTTGCCCTTGCTTAAAACTCTAAGCACCCAACCCAGTTTACTTTTATTTGTATTTATGTTTTGTCTGCATGTGTGTATGTATATTATGTATGGGCCTGGTGCCTGTGGAGAGGGCATCAGATCCAACAAGTGATTGTGGCCCAACATGTTGGTCCTGGGAATGGAACATGCACCTCTGCAAGTGCAGCAAATGCTCTTAACAGCTGAGCTATCTATCTCTACAGCTGTTTCTGGTATTTTAACATTAATTATTTTGGTTGGGTAGTGGTGCTGCATGCCTTTAATCCCACCACTTGGGAGGCAGAGGCTGTCGAGGACAGTCTGGTCTACAGAGCAGGTTCTAGGATAGTCAGGGCTACACAGAGAAACCTGCCTGGGGGACAAAGAAAAACCCCAAAAATCCAAAACTTATTTTGTTTGTAGATGTTGAGAGGTAAATGCATACTATAGCACAGCACAACTCAAGCATTATTGCACTGTGTGGGATTGACCTTAGATTATCAGGGTTAGCAGCAAGTGTCTTTACCTACTGAGCCGTCTCCCTAGCTCTAATGGAATATTTTGTTTGGTTTTGGTGATTTTTTTTTTTTTTTCATAGACAGGATTTTGCTTTGTCATTTAGACTGTCCTTAAACTTAAGACCCTTTTCTTAGCCTCAGTGCTGCAGTATTTGTCACTAAGATACCTGATCCTATGATATCTTAAACTAAATTTAGGGCTGGATGTGGTAGCTTAGGCCTTAGTTCCTCTCAGGAGGATAGGTTGGAAGGTTGCTTTCAGTTCAAGACCTGCTTAGGGTCCCCAATGAGCTCCAGGCTAATTTGGGCCACAGTGTAAGAATCTAAGAACTGCAAACAGGAGGTAGATGGATATAGTGAATACAAAAGCTGGTTGGTAAAGACTGAAGAAGCAAAAGAGATGGCTCACCCCTGTAATAGCAGCACTTGGGAAAGCTAAAGCAAGAAGATTGCTGCAATTTGGAAGCCAGACTGGCTATTTGCTGAACCGTAGTCTCAACAGAAGAAAGGTATACAAAGTGGATAGGCCAGGTATAGTGTCCCAACTCCTTTAAACCCAGCACTTGAGAGGCAGAGGCAGGGGAATTTTTGTGAGTTAGACACCAACCTGGTCTATATAGTGAGTTCCACGCCAGCCAGGATTACACAGAGACTGTGTAAGAAGCAAAAAAAAAAAAAAAAAAAAAAAAAAAAAAAGGGGTTTTTGTGGATATTTGGTGTCTGTTTTGATCATTTTCAAGTTACTAAGGTACATTTTTCTAGTACACTAGCTTCAAAGAAACATTCAAGTGTTTTGCTTTGCTTTTTCTTTTTTTTAAATTTTTTTTTTATTTTTCAAGACAGGGTTTCTCTGTGTAGCTTTGGATCTTGCCCTGAAACTCGCTGTGTAGACCAGGCTGGCCTCGAACTCACAGAGATCCACCTGTCTCTGCCTCCCAAGTGCTGGGATCAAAGATGTGTGCCACCACCAGTAGGCTTTAACTGTTTTTCATTAAGATTTGTGATAACATTTTATATTCTTTTAACAGGGTTAGCTCAAGTATTAAAAAATCTGATACTTGGCGCACAAGGGAAATCTTAAACCATCTGAAAGTTGCTAAGAGTTGTGTTTAGCTTCAATAAAGATACATCTTTTTTGTCTTTTAAGAGGTAGACCTAAGACCAGTAAAAAATAGTTTTGGGGGCTGGCAGGATGGTTTACCACCAAGCATGATGACCTTAATTGGTTCAGTCTCAGATCCACATGGTAGAAGAGAACCCACTCAGTTCTCCTGTGACCTTCACCTGCATGACCTGTCACATGTGTATGGGCACACATACATAAATAGATGAATGTAGTTTTTTAACTTAAATATATGGTTGGAGGAATGGCTCAATAGTTAGCACTTATTACTCTTGCATAGGACTAGAGTTCATTTCTTAACACTCACATGGCAACTCACAACTTACCTGTAACTCCAGATGCAGAACATCCAATGCCCTCTGGATTTCTGGTCACCAGGTTGCACACACATGGTGCACATATATGTGTGTAGGCAAAACACTCATTAGTAAATTTATGTGATTATTTTTCCTGCACCATGTGCATGCTTGATGTCTGTGCAAATCAAAAGAAGGTGCCAGAGAGGATATCAGTTCCCCTGGAATTGGAGTTACAGACGGTTGTGAACTACCATGTGGGTGCTGGGAATCAAACCTGGTCTTCTGCAGGAGCAATAGATGCTCTTAACCACTGAGTCATGTCTCCAGTACCCCAAAAAATTTTTTAAAAAATAGTGTTTGCTTACTAAGGACTTGGGGTATGTGAAAGGAGATTTATGTATGTACATAACAATAAAATGTGCTGTCCATGTTAGAGGGGTTGGGTAAGGTATCTCTAATGATTCAAAAAATGTAAGATTATTAAAAAATATTAAGATGCAATGTTCTGTAGCTCTTTGAGGCAGATATTTACTATTGTTTTTTTTTTTTTCCCCCTGAGGTAGGGTTTCTCTATAGCTTTGGAGCCTGCCCTGGATCTCACTCTGTAGACCAAGTTGGTCTTGAATTCACAGAGATCCACCTGCCTCTGCCCCCCGAGTGCTGGGATGCAAATGTGCGTGCACCACCACCACCCAGCTACATTGTTTTTTTAAATTGTTTTGTGGGATGGGTACCTCAGTGTGCCTATGCAGGTCAGAGGACATCCTTCAGGAGTAAGCATGCTTCTTGTATCATGTGGGTCCTGGAGATGGCTCTCAGGTCTCCAGGCTTGGCAGTGAAGCACCTTTACCCACTAAACCATCTTACCAGCCCCAGGAAGCACAATTTTCAAGCTTTGATTGTTTCTCTCTCTCTCTCTCTCTCTCTCTCTCTCTCTCTCTCTTAACTATGCTTTGTTCCAGTGGTCAAGAAATTATGGAACTAACAAAGTTCTTAGGCTGAATAGACCTAAATTCAATCCCAGAACTCATATAAAAAAGCCAAGTTTAGTGCTTAGCTTGGGGCTTGCTGGCCAGCTAGCCTAGGCTACTTGAAAAGTTCCAGGCCAGTGAAAAACTCCATCTTCACAATCATGGTGAATGTTACCAAAGAAATGACAGCTCAAGTTGCACCTCAACATGCATGTGTGTTGTGCACACATGCACACACATCCACCCATACACCCTAAAACTAAGAGGCTATGTCCTAGTGGTTAAGATCAAGCACTGCATTTGCAGAGGATCTAGGTTCAATTCCAGCACCAATGTCAGGTGATTCACAACTGCCTATAGCTCTAGTGCCCAGGGATCTGACGACCCCTCTTCTGGCCTCTGGTGACAGGAATGCATGTAGTGCTTATATAAACATGCAGGCAAAACATATTAAAACAAGGACAAAGTCAAACCCTAAACTAAAACTAAAGCTCCTAACAGGTGGTCTTATGTGCTTGTTTCTGCACGAATGTGTGAGGGATCTGAGTTGGGAGAGAGGGTGTCAGATACCTGGGTACAGGAGTTGCAAGCAATTGTGAGCCACCTGATGTGGGTGCAGTGTTGGGAACTGAACTGGAGCCCTTTACAAGAACAGGATGTGTTTTGTTTTAAGATTTTTGTTTGTTTCCTGGGTGGTGGTAGTGTATGCCTTTAATCCCAGTACTCGGGAGGCAGAGTTAATTGGATCTCTGTGAGTTGGAGGTCAGCCTGGTCTACAGGGTGAGTTCCAGGACAGGCTCCAAATCTACAGAGAAACCCTGTCTCAAAAAACAAAACAAAACCATAAAACCAAACACCAAAAAAAAAAAAAAACAAAAAACAAAAAAAAAAAGAAAAAAATTTTAATGTACATTGAGATTTTGTCTTGCATGTATGTCTGTGTAAGGATGCCAGATCCCCTGAACTGGAGTTACAGACAGTTGTGAACTGCCATGTGGGTGCTGGGAATTGAACCCATCTCCTTTGGAAGAGCAGTCAGTGCTCTTAACCTCTGAGTTATCTCTCCAGCCCCCAGGATGTAGTCTTAACTTCTGAGGCATCTCTCTGGTCCATTTGTGGACTTGTAAAGTGATTTGTGGACTAGTTAAAGTAATTGATGAAGAGGATGCAGGAAAAGGTTTTGGAAGTGTTTTGGATATTGTGAAAATCTTAAGTGAAGCATGAGACCTAGCATCACTGAAACTGATTTTCAGAGTACATGGGTCTTTTCCCTCAACCTGGTTGCACTGTTAAAAGTTTCTTTAAAACAACCGATTTTTATAAAAATGGAAGAATAAGACATTGAAATTGTCCCCCCCTCCCAACATTTAGCATTCAAAAACTTGAGAAGCATTCACCTGAACATCTTTGAACTTCTTTTTCTTTGTGGCAGATGTCCCTAATTTTCAATGCAGTTCAAAGGTCTGTGGAGTAAGGAGAAATATCTGTGTATGCTCTAGGAAGATTTACCAGGAAAAGATGACATGTTCTGTCAAAACATCATTAAGCTAAGAGTTGGGAAACCTCAGCCATTCCAGCCTTTGAAGA